CAGAACAGGGTCTTCAGTCATATCTTTTAGCAAAAGTTCAATGGGTTACACATATGCAAAATTTGGAGATTTCATATAAACATCTGAGTTTCTGGTTTTTCAAAAAAAGAGAAAAACAGGAGAATTGGGCCACATAGGCTCCCTAGTGCTGCACGGCAGCAATAGGCTGGGACCCGATAGAGGCGGCTGGAGCCCTGCAGGGAGCTAGATCTCTTCCCTCATCACTGTGTGCTTAGGCACTGACAGGTGAATCTTGTGGGCTGACTTGTGTCACCTGGCTGGCTCCTGCGCATATATGCCTTTGAGGCTTTGACTGAGAACTACCCTTAACCAACTAAGAGTCCTTCATATATGTATTTGCAGAGGTTACTAATAGTAAGACGCCACTTCCAACCCACTCTGAGCTGTATGGCACACATCCATGGGCTGTGGCCCAATAGTTGAGAATGACCATCTCCAGGAAAGCCTGGCCTCAGGTTTTCTTCAGGGCATGCATGTGGTTCTACTCTTGGGTTTTGGCCTCTCCAAACAGGTGAGAAGTAGGACGGGATAAACATCGCTGGTTTATAAATACAGTCAGTTACGGTAGGGGTCCTGGCTTTCATATTTGGTAATCAGTTATTATTTTTTAGTAATGTATCTAGCTACCAAAATGAAAAACTGAGAACTTAATGTTTTGAAACGAAACAAAACTACCTAAACAAATAAAATAAATGAGAGCCACTGGTGGGCCAATGATGTGACCATGCGCCAGCGTCCCATGCACGCCCCTGAGATCTCAGAGGAAGAAGGCCTGGCCTGTCGGGCCTAAACCCTGGCTCCTTGCTAGCAGGGGGCCTGGTGAGCGTGTGCGCGTAGCCAGCGGCGTCCTCTTTTTCTTTGAAGAGCGAGCATGGTTCCCTCCATCACTTTGTGTTGTGCGCTTGGATCCCAGCATTCTAGTCCCTTGTCCATGTTCCTCAGCAGAGCCTCCTATCCTGCTTTCTGATATTTATAAACTAGATGGATATGGCTTGAGCTTTAGAAATTGCTGGACGCTAAATCCTTTATTTAGAAGGTAGACAGCTCACAAAAGGGGACATGATACCTTCTTTGCCAATCAGGCCCTAACAGGTCTTAAAATGGGGCCGTAAAGCTTAATTAAAAGAGAAGCTCGTGTTTTACATGATATTTAACCTTCCGGAAAGGGGTACATATGCCATGAAGGTGAGGCGTGTGCGGATCTCCTCACAGAAGCAGTTTTTATAGCCTCATAACTTATTGCAGCAGTGACAATGACAAGGCGGCATAATATACTGCACTATAAAATCACTATATTACTTTGTGAAAGTTACACTGGATTCGATCAGAAAAAGATGTTGAATTGTGTATCGGTGAAAACATTCATCACTTCATCGTGGAAAAAGCTAAGCAGTAAAACTTCTCAACGTGCTTGCCAAGCCCATTAATACATAAATCTAATCACACAAAAAAGTAAAAAAACAAGCTTTGTCGGACTTGAAATTTTCTGTCCTATGAAATAAACCATATTTCCCTTTCTCCCAAGAGATGTCTCTGGATGAAACCCTTTGCATTTGCTCTAATTTTGTTATAACATTATTCATAGCACTTGATGCACAAGCTCAAAATCAACATGAGTCATACCACACTGAGTTCTTTATTACCAGAAATACATAGTTTTAAAACCATAAATGTTCAGATTCAATAGGCAGATGGTAGCTACTGAATTTCCCAAACTGGCGCAAGTTAAATTTAAACACAAGTTGATGGTTCACACATTTGTGTAAGGGAGTTGGAGAAGTCTAAATTGAATTTGATGACATTTACAAATATTTGAACTGGTTTACTGGCTGGTTGCTTGATTCTGATGTGGTCCTTTTTCTGCCTCTCTCTTCTTGCAGGTCTTTCAGAGGGGCCTGCTGCGTGCAGTGACCGAGAGGAAATGAGCTAACAGACCTGGATTTCTAGACCAGCTCGTTCATTGATTTACAGGCTCTGACTGCAGACTAGGAAACGCTGGGAACTCCAGACTGTAAATTGTGAGAATGATCTGCATGTGTGAGGCCCCAGGAAGAGGACACCCTTTCTTTTCCTCATTGGCCTTTCATTCAGGACCCACACTTCTAAAAGGCCAGGAGACGCTAATCTCCTAGGAAAGGCCATGTGATCAGGGAATTTGGGGCAATAATAATGTTTGCAGAGTTTTTTTAAACAGAAATAATCTCATTTTAGTTAATCTTATTTGAGAATGTTAAGAGATTTTATGTAAAAATTCACGTTTATAGTTCTCTTAAAAAAGTAAAGATATAATAATACAGTTAATATATCCTCACACAGAAATAATTTCTTGTAGCTTCTCATCAGGCAGAAAATGAGCTCTCCATGTGTCAAGTGACCACCCAACATGCCTGGATTCTGGGAGATGTGTACTTGGCTCCCGTTCTAGTCTTTCTTGAAGACACCCGGTGTCTTTTCATGTATTAAAGGCTCTAAAAATTCCCTCAGTAAATATTTCTATTTTGTTTTTAATTTTCCCCCAAGTATATTTGATTATGAAATATTTTGGGATATACTGCTCTAGATAATTCTTTAAGTTTTTAATTTAAATTTTTACTCCAAAGTGTACAGATGAAAGTCAATTTCTAATATATTATGTGGTACATAAATTCAAGTAATTTTTATTTTCTGGTATCAATTTTATGCTTTCTGACAAGTATTTGTGAAAGTATTTTGAAAGCCTAAATTTTGCAGTGAGGATTCCATGTCCATTTCTGGGTGATTTTGTCAGCGTTCAGGGTGTAGAATCAATCTACCTAGTTGGAGTGTTTGCACATTTAATCAGACCTCATGCCATATGGAAGAGATGAAGGGGCTTCTGGATTTTACCTGAGGTTTAACATTAAAATGTCCAGACTAGAGGACCCACTGTGCTGCTGATGTAATAAGAGGCCCTACAACATGCGTTCCAGATAAAGGCTTTGGAGAGAAAACAGACATCCTTGCAATATGGGAAGGAACAGGGGCACATGGAACTATTATGCTATGCCCAGTAAACTAGAACTTAAGTAGGTATTTCCTTCAGATAAGCCTCAGCTGAGTAACTCTCGAAACGAGAAGATGGGCAGTAACTGCTTTTTGGGAGGCGAGCCCCACACGCATCACCCAAGTGGTCCCTTTAAAGCCCCAACATGGCATTTGGCACTTCCTCTTGGGGCTGAGGACACTGCAGTTATAATCACGGGTTTCTGGTTTTCCCAGCGTTAGGGCTGGAAAGCGCGGCTGTTATGGCAGCGAAGGTTTCACGGAGAACATTCTGACTACGAGGCTCTAAGTGGGGTGTTCTCTGGATCTGGCTGAAATGGATTCAGGGTAACGCCAAATAAAGAGGACAAGCAGGTTTAGAAAGAAGTTGTTTACCACTTTAATAGGCTGTCCAACATCTGGCCACTCAGATTGTTCTGAAACCCGGCTGCTTTAATGGTCTTCCTCTCTCACCGGATGAGATCTGAACACTCTTAGAAAACGCGAATCAAACATAGGAAGAGGCGCCACGAGGAGACTTGTTGCCACAGCACCATGGGCTTCACGATGCCCGGCTCTGGACTTAACCGGAGGGCGCTTCTGCGCCTAGGACCGCTGCGCAAAGCCTCGGGGCGCTGTATTTACAGGGCTTGTCGATGCGGGACCCGCGTCCTGCCGCAGCTCTGCCGAGCC